CTTGCTGAGGGTGCACTCAATCCCAGTGTCCGTGTCTCCGACAAAGATGTTGAACAAAGATGCCACATGTTAACATGTTTAGAAGTGTGTGGTAGATTTTCAGTGTACTTTTCCCATGGTGGAATTGGATTCTGAGCCTTAGAAGCCAAGTTCATCACTGTCAGCTTGTACCACATTGTGTTGTGGTTTTTCTGGTTGTTCTCTCAACCCTCAATTCTTGTTTACTTAGGCAGATATTTACAATTCCAATGTGACATTTTGCCTAGCAACATTTGTTTAAGAATTTCAGTGCTGTCAGTACCCAAACAAATTTAAACATGCCAAAATTGAGACACTTCTGCCTGCTGAGATTGTACAGTATGTAATTGGGCTCTTAATGCGTACTGCACAATATTACAGGGTGAAAATATGAAGTGCTGTGACTGTTACGCTGTGTTTATGGTACTAGAGTATCACAGAAATAAGATAAAGACAAAAATTTCTACCACAGACTTTACATTCAATTTTAAATCAAAATTGCACTCTGTAAACTGCTGGTAGATTTTTTTTTTTTCCCTCATTTTCTTTCTTAATGTTTTAATGATCTGATAAGTGTTATTGGCAGGCTAGCCAAGAAGATACCCAATCTGAACAGAGTTCATCATTGTGACTGTAGACAGCACATAGTAATTGAGCTCTGAAGCAAGATCTTCTGCTTAAGAAGGCTGTCCATTTGAGAGAGAGTCCCTGTACTTGTTGAGAAAAGGCTATTTGGATCAGTAATATAATTCAGAAGAAATCACCATTTAACATGTCATCAGTCAGTTTAGTTTTATGTTGTATGAATTCAGTGAACGATGGTGCTGAACTGTAAGTTTTTGAAAGGGTAAAAAGTTTCCCAAAGGCATGGACAAGTAGTGTGGGCAGCTCAGATCTAGTGAAAAATCTGTTTATATTCTCAGTGCCAAGCAAGGCAGTAGCTTTTGAGGGAGCAGTCCAAAGCAAATGAAATAGCTATTCCACTTGCCACGTCCTGATCAGTAAAATGTGCTAGGAAAGCTGGAATAGAAAAGCAAACAAAGGAAGGTACTTTATAGAAACCAGTTAGGGCCAAACTTAGACTTTCAAGTTAGCTGTCCTAACAACCTGTTTTGAAATGAATTGATCTTGTGAATATAACTTACACATATGAGGGTTTTAGCTATGCAGATATCAAAACTGAGGTTGTCCTCTTGCTTTCAAGCAGCTGAAAGGGGAGCTTAGAGCCAGAATATCAAGCTGTCTTTGGGAGTTCTCCCTCTGGAAATGTGCCTGCTGAAATGAGTGAGGAAACGGAGCCATAATCATAGCGGTACAAAACATCCTCTAATAGGAGAGGAGGCTGAGACCCAGCCAAATTCATGTGTGTAAAAATGAGAATGAGCACATGTGATTACTGGTTGGTTTAGGGATGGATTGGGAAGTTTGGCTTTTGTCAAGAGCACTGAAGTTATGAGGATCTTTGCAATCTGCTGTTAAAAGACCAAGTTTCAACTTACCTGACAGACTTGGTTGAAGGGAGAATGGCAGCCATTTCATCTACAGCATGTAACTGGCTGCCTACTGATAGGGAAAGCATTTTTTCCAACTTGCTGCAAATCAGACATGGATTTTTGGTTAAGAATGGAAGAAATGAGATTTGTCGTTTGTTTTTTGTGCAGGAACTGACAGAAGAAGGCCTTCCTTTTCTCATACTTTTCCATATGAAAGATGACTTGGAGAGTTTAGAGAAATTCCAGCAGGAGGTTGCACGACAGTTAATAAGTGAAAAAGGTTTGTAGTAACTCCTGCTACTTGTTTTTATTAGTATAATTTTTTTCAGGCAAACTCATAGTGGAAGTAAAGGCCAAACAGAATCCTAGATTTAAAGCTCTTCAGTCCGAAGGGCTCTATGTACTTTTGACAGTGAGGACCAACTCCTCTGGAAATGATTGAGAGATGCACAATTTATCAGTAAGTAACTGCTTCAGAAATCCTTCTTGTCTAAATGACTACATGCAGTTTGAGAGGGCATTAAACAAAACTCCAGTTTGTATTGTGGCCGAAAACACTTTAAGAAAAAACATTATTTTAGTGGTTTTATTTAAATCTGTTTTCACGTTTTGCATGTTGTGTCTGTCTAGTATCTCCACCTTTGTAATACTTATGAAAGGTTCAGGGTTTCAAGATAATAAAAAAATCTTAACGTGGACTTATTTTTTCTGCTCACAATTTTAAGGTACAATAAACTTCCTCCATGCTGACTGTGATAAATTCCGGCACCCGCTCCTCCATATTCAGAAGACTCCAGCAGACTGCCCTGTTATTGCCATTGACAGCTTTAGGCACATGTATGTCTTTCCAGACTTCAGTGACTTGTCGTAAGTACTTTTCTTTCTGCATTTTGATTTGAGAAGAACAAAGGGAAATACGTGTTCATATTTTAATCAGTATTATGATAGGAAGATGAAAAAATCTGGGATAGGTAAGGCTGCCTATGTATGATTCAGTGTCAGAGCCTTAAAGCGCAGTATGAAGTGTGGTGAAGTTATTGTTTAAATGGAGTTGTGTTGCTTTATGCAAGAAGAGAATCTGCCATTAATTTTTTTAGATGCTGCTGCTCTTTTAATTCAAAGTTTTGCTATTTTCCATAGTAGTTGGGCATTTTGGCATGGTATTTCTAGTGGTGATCTAGATATCAACTGACTTTAAAAGATTGAAAATACTACGTGGAACGTTCAAGTGTTGTGTTATGCAGTGATTGCTGTAAAATACACCATGTATGAATTCCCAACCTGCTGGTTTGGTTTTTTGTGCTGTGCAACTCCAGCCTTCCTGCATTAGTCTAAACCCAGAAAGCTGGCAGAGAAATCCTTGCATGCATTTCCAAAATTTTCCACATGCAGCTTGGAAAATGGCTGATCATTGGCATGTTATGTGGATAAAATATGTGTGAGAGAAGTATCAGGGTGCTCAGGTGAAATGCCACTTGATAATCCTCTTTACATCAGACTGTCTCTTTATGTTGTACTGCCTTGGAAGCGAATGTTCCATATCCCGTGGTTCAGTTGAAGAGTGAAGATGGGTACCTGTTATCTTCAGGGGCTTTCAGCATGAGACAGGCATTTTGTCTGTGTCTTAAGGTTGTGTATTAAACTCCAGTTTCTGTCTCAGAGGAGGCACCTGCATATGCCTTGCTTGTTAAGTCCTGGTTACATGCCTAGGCTTTGCAACTTGAATTTTTGCCCATTCATACTTTTAAGAACTCAGGGTGTTTCATTTTTGTCAAAGTCAGTGATTCAAAGCTCAGACTTAGCATGCAATGTGAACGTAACCCCATGTCTCATTCTGCTATTCCTGCAGGATTTTTTTCTACCTGAAATGTTGACGTTTGGAAGGAGGGTTCAAACCTAGCTTCTCCCCATCATTCTCCACAGGCTTATTCTTAAAATGTAGTCTGATGTATCTCTTAATAGTTCTTCTCAAATATCTAAAGCCATGTATGTGGAAAGTCTGATAGTGACTATTTTTCTTTTTCTTTGGAAGATCATGTTCCCCACACACGTCAGCGTTTTTTAAAAAAATATATAGTGGGATATTTGCATTTTGAAAGTACTCTTTTTTACTGTCACTTTTGAAACAGCCCTAAAATAAATTAATATCTCTTTATAGAGGAATAGAGATGTTTAGTTTAGACTTTCATTTTACAAATGCTGTTTCTGTGAAACACTATCAGAATAATAAAAGCTACTTGCTTGTTTGTATACCAGTCGTTACATACAAATGAAGATGAGAGAGAGAGAGATGTCAGGATTGTAGACAGTTGCTTAATGACAAATAATTATTTAACCTTATTCTAGGAGATGGTGCTGATGCTTAGAAATAACTAACAAACAGTTTGGAAACAAGGAGAGCTTGGAGCTCCTTGGGTGGTATTCTTTTGTACGTGTGTGTGTGTGTGTGGTTTGGATTTTTGTTTTGATTGTTTGATTATTTTTTTTTCTTTAATAATAGCTAAAATCTTAATTCTGAGACTTTCATCTACCTGCAAGGACTTTTGTCACTTTAGTACAGTTTCTGGACTCTTTTACAAACTGGCTCCAGACTGTCTCTTACAATCTCAGTGCTCACCTACCAGTGCGGTTTGGATATGGTACTTTCAGAACTGGCCCACTAAAAGATTTCCTTTTTCTTTAGGGAGTCATCTTTTTGGAGAAAAACTACTTCATAGGCAAATGAGACCACCACCCAATATTTTGTCCTCATACTTTGTCCACCTGGCCCTATTCATCCTGCTGTTCCAAGCTGGAAATGATAGCAGGGAGTGTTCAACAGACCAGTTGTAGCTTCTCAGTGAGAACTGGCTGAGTTACAGGAGGCTGTAGGCACCAAATGCCCTTGCTGCATTAGGAGAGAAGAGGTTGGAGGAGAATGTCTCCAGCAGCCTGTCTGACCTAGAACAGGGCAGGAGCCCAAGGTAAAGCAGAGAGCAGTGATTCTGCTGTCTGTACAACTGGGCTGGAATGAACCCCCTTCTCTCCATCAGTACTAATTCCTGATCTTGTATGGGAAGGGAAGAGACCCCTCAAAGTACCACTGCAATCCTGATTAGCTGCAGACGTCGCTGTAGTGATACCGTCTGGCTCTATATTTTACTACCTTTTATCTGTAGAGTTTTCTGATGATCTGAAATACTGCTGCTAACCCATCTGACCACACTTTGTCCCTCTTTCCTAAATACAATAATTGGTCTGATGAAAGACTCCCTACAAAACCTGTTTGCATTCATGCATTACCTTTTGATTGCATGCATAGGGCTTATGTTAGTTTTTTATCTCATCTTTAATACTTACTAGATCAACTCTTCATTTTAAGTTTGTCTACTTGATGTTTCACAAATAAAACTGGATGCTGTAGTTTAGCACGTTTGCTGTGGGTGACAGTAGATGATCTCAGATTAGATTTACATTGATATCCTCTTAGTGCTTATCTCTAGTGTATGTGCAGTTGCTCAGGCACTAGAGAGCCTTTCAAAGATGTTTTGTCAATACTGCTACCCAACTGTCATTTGTATCTGTAAACTGTGCATTTGGAACCTGCTGTTCCCTCTTACATTATGGTTAGTGGGGAGCTGAAGTGAGTATACAATGAAGTTATCGGCTAGTACAACTCTGTGGGAGTTATTGAAAAGATGAAATACTTGCTGTGTTCTCAAGAGACAGTGGAAAGAAAAAGAAGCTGGTAGGATACCTTAACAAACCGTTTGGCTTCCTGTCCTCTATTAATCACCTAAAAGTGGACATAGTGTGCTAGATAAACAGAAGTTGGCTACTCTAAACAGTGCACTTTAAATCTTCTGTGTCTGGACTTAACTTGTAATAAACATGTGGGTGTTTCTGTTGGATTTGTTCCAGAGTTCCAGGTAAACTGAAGCAATTTGTACTAGACTTGCATTCTGGAAAATTGCATAGAGAGTTTCATCATGGCCCTGATCCAACTGATGTAGCACCTGGTCAGGTAAGGTTACAGCAAATACGTTTAATTTGACTGTTTAATAAAGACCTTTTTTTTTACTTGTTAGAGCTGTACTTTCTAATATGTGTGTACTTTTACCTTAGGTCTCCTGAAAGAGAAATCTTGCAGAAGTTACCACTTCTGCTTGGCCTTTCCTTTAACTTCCTTTGGTAAAGGCAAGGAGAGCATTAGGGGGAAGAGTATCATTGCCCTATATAAGGGAAGAGTATAAGAATATGTATTTTTTCCACTGAAACACAAGATCCTGGGCTAGATTACTGTTCTGGGCTCACAGAGCTGCTGCTTTTATGTTCTCATGTGATTTCAGTGCAAAAACTGACGATACATCACAGACACATTATTTCCCACAAGACACACATGAGATGGCCCTTCTAAGGGGAAACATCAATTGATTAAATGTTTTAGATATTTACTGGTAGTCACTAATTCAAGCAGGAAGCAGATTATTAAAGCATCAACAAAAGATTGATAAGCAGTAATACTGCTTATTACTTTTATTAATACAGTTAACAAGCAGCATTAATAGTGTTCAGAATCTGTATTTGTCAGTTTGGATTCCTCACTGTTGTGCTCAGAGGTTGTCATGCTATATAATTACATGCCTGGAAGTCACTCTAGTCACTATTAGATCTTTCTCCTGAGAAAACTCAGGAGAACCTCAGTGTTTAGTTTAATCCAACAGGCAGAAAAGAAAGGATGTTACCAGTCCTGATTCCCTCTGCTCAGCCCAGTCTTCCAGCTGTGCCTTGATCAGCCTTGAATCTTCTTGATCTCATTCTCAGCTCATACACTTGGTGTCATGCTCAAAAGTGCACATGTAACAGCCTGTCAGGCAACCTTCTCATTACCTCAGGCACTCTCTAAAGAAATAACTGTTTTTAAACACTTCAAAAATTATAGGTTGCATTGTCTAGGGCTCAAAGTCACATTGGTCCCAGAGTAGACCTGGTGCCCTTGTGTTGGGGTTCCTTGAGCCTTCCCAGAACCCATGGGTGAGGGACAGAAATGATTCATGGCTACAGGCTCATTTTCCTAGTCATCTGTGGGATGTGGTAAGGGTGGCACTGTGCTATGGTGTGTGAGTGCAGCCTCCTGTTGTCCTGCTCAAAGTTAAAACATTTAAAAGTGTGAAAGCCCTGGAGGGCTTGCCTTGGGCCAGGAGAATGACTGCTTTTGAATGTTGTCATGACTGACCATGAAAACATGAGGGTTGAATTCTCTCAGCAGTAATTAATTTAACTGGTGACCCCTGTATTTCTCAGCAATACATTGAGCAAGCAGAAGTCAGGTCAACGGGAGATGCAGAAAATAGGTCTGGAAACTGAGGCATAGGCCAGGCAATTGGTCAGCTTGGAGCTGGACAAGTGTGGGTGAGGAAGAGACACTCTGAGGCAATTGCAATCTGGAGGAGGCTTGGCCAGGGAGAGGGAAAGCCTGCCAAATCCCTGGATCCTGCTGCCAATCTGGGCACAGGCTTCTTGCCTAGAGCTGCAGGCTTACTCTTGTCTCTATTCTGCCTTGAAAAACGCACACAAAATCAAAGATGTTTACTTTCTCATCTCCATGTGGCATCCTGCCATCTTGTGGAAGATGCGTATGTATGTGCCATGGAAATACTGGCCTTAACTACACTGGAGGCTGCTGTCTTAGGTCACGTATGTCTCTTGAATTGCATGTTTGTTTGGGTTTTTTAGTTTCCACAGAAAGCAAATTCTAAAATATTGTGGCAGCCATGTCATTTTTTTCCTGGTGTATCTCGGTAACAAACAAACGAGAATACCTTCAAAGCAAGTGGCAGACAGACTCAAACAAACGTGCAGTGGGGTGCATAAATACTTTGAAGTCACTTGTACAGAAACCTGTGTGATGGCCATTACCTTTGAGATGTGCCACCAATAGGAACAGCCTTAACTGATGGTGCTTCGTTAATGGATGTTTGTGTGCGTGTGTATTCCACCTATTTGGGACCTACAATCCAAAAGGCATGCAGTTTGTGAGAACACTGGACATCTGTGCACCCCCAGAACTAATCTTAGAAGTTCATTTAATGGAGGTGATTGATTATTAAAATGAGTCTGACAGGCAATTTTACTGTTTGTTCTGTTTTTTCAGCCAATTCAGGATTTAGCAAGCAGCCCACCAGAGAGCTCATTCCAGAAACTGGCACCCAGTGAACATAGGTACACCTTATTGAGGGAAAAAGATGAACTTTAAAAACTTGAAATAATCTTGCAAGCCTTTCAGACAGCAGCATTGACTTCTGTGTGGTGGAAATAGTAAACCTATATTTTCATAATTCTATGTGTATTTTTATTTTGAATAAACTGAAAAATAATTTCTTTCTCCCCAGGCTTGTAAATACATTTGTTTGGTGGGTCATTCTGTACAGCATCTTTCAAACGGTTCCTAATGCTATAGTAAAACATCAGAGACCCATCCAGACTCTATCTAACTCTGTTCTGTAAAACTTTTATAATCCAAATGAAGGTATCCTTGCCAGAGACATGCTGTTAACTTGCACTATCCCATTAAATAGGACTTTGGGGTTGTTTTCTGTGTAACCTTGGTAGTATGTGCTTTTTCTTCTTCATGTGAACAGCTATCCTGGTAATCTATTCCTTTGTCACATTTTTCTCCAACTTAAGAGGGTCTTCTATTCTGGATACTTGGGAGGGGAATAAATTAAAGTTTTACAGAATCTTGTGTGGTGCTTTACTGGGTGTAAATGTCTAAGCAATTAAACAATTCTGACTATTAAAATAGCAAGCAAGGAAAGGAGAAGTTTTAATGATAATGGCTGTACTTTGAATGAAAGGGCTGTATTGACCTGCTTTGATTTCCTGGAATTAAGATTGTTATATTATGCACATGGCTGTCTTAAAAGAACATGAATACTGGAAACTTTCAAAGTAGGAGAGGACTAGAGGTGGACTGCCATCTTAGTTCTGTCAGTCTTAAATAATCTCTGTATATATGTGTTATGATTAAGTTTGGTTTGTTGTTTGGGTTTTTTTCCTCTGGGTCCCTGCCTTCCTGGCAGACATTTACTTTCTGCGCCACCAGTGCAAATTTTTTGTGACTCTTTTTGTCTGGTTTGTGCCTTATTTATTGCATATTCTTTGGATTCTGCTCTGAAGGAGGAATTACTACTTTCCTTGTGGGCTCTTCTGTTGTGCATGACACCAGAATACAGGCATTTCTCAATGAATCTTCAAGCTGGTTAGTGAGAGGAACATACAAAAACTGTAAGATGGAAAAACACCTGTTAATTTGGGGTGCATTGCTGGAGATGAATTAGTATTTGATTTGTACAGTCCACTTACTAGAAAGAATCTAGGTCCATGCTTTGGGCCCCCAAGGTTTAGTGTCCTTAGAGGCAAGCTTGTTCTTTGGATAAGTGGATCGCTGTGTTCACGTTTACTTCAGTGAGTGCCCCAACCTCTGCAGCTCACAGCTCAGGATTCCTTTTGCCTCTCAGCTCGATGCCACCTGCTCAGTTATTGACAGATGACTGACACGGTCCAGCTCAGCTGTGGCAGAAGTTGATCCCCAGAGAGCCTGCTGAATCAAGCCCCTGCAGCAGCAGGCACATGAGCTTTCAAGGGGGTGATTCTGAGTTGCTGGTACCAACCAACACTAAGCTGCAGCTGAGCAGACGCAGAACTGGTAGCTAAGAGTATTACAAGATTTTGTTTACAAGCATATACTTTTGTTGGTTTTGTGAATCTGCATTTTGGAGTGCACCTTAAGTGCTTGAAAGCCAAGTCTTCTCCTGTCCCACACTCCATCTTATGCCAAAACAAGCATTTCTGGCAGCTGAGTTGCACCATGTTTCAGTTGGAATCCAAAGATGTGAGCAGGGTGCCACTTGTTACCTGCAGGTGGTCCTACACAACTTCTGGAGTTGTTCAGGCACCTGAAATTTTAGTCAATTCCTGCATGGTGCCTACAGGTACTCATCTTACTCCTTTGAGGTTTCTGGTTTTCCTTGGGATTATTTATAAATGCTGTTTGGTGAAAGATGCCTAAACTTCTTTTTCTGGAGAGAGATGCTACCTCATCATACACCCAACAGTCCAGTGGCTGGTGCTTTCAGCTAGAAAGTGAAAGACCCTCCTCCCCTGCCCTGCCATTCCTTCATCCAGGCTTGCTTTTCTGAGCAAGGACTTGTTCCCAGAGCTCTGGGATCCCAGCACTAGGTAGACAATTAGATGTAACAGTTTTATGACAGTTATGCATTCATTTCATTGTGTATTCACTGGAGCTGGACCAGATTCTCCCGTGTTTCTGTGAGCATTGACCTGGCTGTACCAACTCTGAAGTGATTTTTCTATTTGCAAGCAGAAGGTTGAACAGCTAAAGTCTAGGTATGTCTAACATGATGTTGAGTATCACCTGAGCTTTTGAGTATCTGATGAAACAGAGAATTTGCCTAGAGAGAGCAAGTGCCAGACACAATGTGAGATTTGTTTCAAACGGAGCCCTTCAACTCTCATCATCTACATCAGTGGTTTTAACCATTCAATTCTCAGCTAACCACTCAGTGGTTTAACAGTTCTCAAGGCTTTCATGGCAAGTTGTCAAAGTTAGTGTCATCCCCATACAGAACCAAACCATTCCAGACTCTCTTAATTGAACTTAAGGAGTCCATTTCTGAGCCAGCTTATGAGTTACGAGGTGCATGCAACGTTTTAGGAACTTGTGTTAATTTCAGTCAATGGAAATATTTCAACAGCTGAAGCATGTGTTTGGTAATTCAATTCAGCATTCTTAAATGTTGGTAATGCAGTTATTTTAATAACATAAAATCTGTGAGGGATTAATCTTTTAGATGCTGAAACTAAATAAACCCCAACGTTCTCAATAAATGCTGCAACCAGTCTCATAGGCAAAAACTTTTATTTGGTCTGAAAGAATTATGTGTATTGCATTTCTTCTAACATGCCTAGCAATTTAAATGCTAGTTTGGTTACTCAGATGCCCTTGTTTCTTCACATATGTAAATAACCCATTTATTTTTAAAAAATCATAGCTTAAATAATAGTCTTCCAAGTCTAGTGTGTACACAATTTTTTGAAATTGCTTCCTTAAAGACACAAGGAGGAAACATAGTTTTTGAGCAAGACATTTCATAAAATGAGCACATACCATTTGTATGAGCTGCGGCAGGAATTCAGTTTTATGAATTTAGATTGTCCTGGCATTAGTCCAGCCTGGGGGGAGAGGGTGGAGTCTGCAAAGTCTCTGCTGTGGCTGCTGTCTTTTAAATGCACAAGATTTCAAAGCATACGGTAGGAAAGCAGACACATCTTTTCAAAATAATACAAAGAATCAACCACACTTTCTGATCAAGAACACTTTTTTCCTTCATGTCTTCCTTTAAATGTAGAAATTACATATCAAAGGTATGAACAGCCTTAGTATATGAAGTTCATTAAATGTGTTTACATCTAAAGTAGACGCATTTATAGAAAAGTGCTTTTTGCCTGACAGGAGCAAACAAGCTGAATTACTTGGGTCACGTTTTCCACTCCAGCTGATGTTACAGAGGTAGGCACTGTGGCTTTAATAGATGCAGTTTTGACAATGTTTGTGATTACTTGTGAAAACTATTCTTTCACACGTTGCTTCCCTGAGCCTCAGACCTACTTAAAATAGACACAATGTTCTGATTGATAGCAATTTCAGTCATATTTTTAAAGTAATAAGGAAGAACTGTTCAGAAGATATTTGTGCTATAACTAACAGTTGCTTATAGCGTCTCTAGGCACAAAAACCTATCATCTGTCTTTAGCAGACGCTTATTTCTGATGATGGTATCACAGTACTGGTTAAGAAAAGGGAGCTCCTTCTATAGTATGCTCCTTATGCAGTGTTCCCTGCTCGGGAGCCTTAGCACTGAACAATGACTTCAGTATTCACCTAATAAAACTGGCCTCAAGCAGAGCTCAGGATGAATTGAACAATTAAAGACTTTAAAAAGCAGCTTCCCCCCCTCAATTTCTGTTCCCCCAAACAGTAGCAGCAATAGTGCGGGAGGTGTCCTGGAAGGATGGAGGTAGGCCCATGTGTGCTGGACAGTAGATGATGTGACAACAGTACAATTATGTGACAGTAAAACCATGTTAACACTCTCGTATTTAACAATGGAAGTTTCAGAAGCAAAAGGCTTCTTAAGTGACAAAAAAAAGGATGGTAAGAATACCAGGCATCTGCTAGGAGAAGCACTAACAGTATCTCACCCCCATACAGGCTCCTCAGCATGTCCCAAAATCCTGAAAAGGCTGAGAAGCTACCCCGCAGTGGGGGTAGGAGCAGAGCTTTCAGGTGCAGCAGCTCACCTGCACACGTACACTGCAAACAGTATCAGGCTGCCATTTTCAAAACAGTCCCATGATGTGGGGGTGGCAGCAGATGCTGGCACCATTTATGGGCCTCGCTGCCTCACCATCCTTTGACCTGGTGCCTAGTGCCACCCTTGACAGGTAACCGGCTATTGAGGGAGTGGGCCTGGCTACGGCACCGCCTTCCAGGGAAGCTCTCCCTCCAGAACGTTGTTGGTGACAGGAGATAAGAAACAAGGGCAAGGTCTAGCAGTGAGGGCTACCTATGTAAGCTGAGGCTTTGGGCTCAGAATGGCAGAGCTTGTCCCTTCACCCTCTACTGTGTTCTCAGGGCAAGCCAAGGAGTTCAACAGCCACTGCAATTTATTATTGCCCAGTAGGGGTCCTGCGGGGTTTCTGCTTAGACTGTTTAATTCTTACCTACACTCTGAACAAGATGAGGAGTTTAAAATTTATTTTTTTTTTAAAAAAGGGGAAAGCTGCTTATGATGCTGAGCTGATTTGGCTGGAGGAGGCAGATGTGGGATGTACATAAGGGTTTTTCCATGTTGCTCACCCAACTTCTCCACTTTTTCCTATAGCAGCTAATGCTTCCCTGTCTGTTATTGAACAGGTGTAGTCAGGCACCTCCTCGGGGCGTACACAGGAGGAGTCTGGGAATCCAGGTAAATGAAAGTAAATTTAAAGTACTATGACCATAACAATAGATGGAGCTTATCTCCTTTTCTTTGGAGCACTGTAATAAAAGCTCCAGCTTCTGAAGGTGGTGTTCCATGGGAAAGGGACTCGGTTTTCCAAATATCTCTCTTTGTATTGTCTGCAAGACATTTAGTGCAAATTTGGCATGAAGCACCTGTTGCCCATCATTACAGCTGTGCATATAGCTCACCTAGGAATTTTATAATTAAAAGTTATCTATATAATTTTCAAAGGACTGATGTCACCACATGAAAAGAGAAATTCTGACATTACTGTTTCACCCCTCCCAAGTAAGAGCACTGTTGTCAAAATTCACACAACTCAGCCTTGTATTTAAAGCACGAGGCTGCAAGTCTGTCATTAGCATGGCTACTAGGCTTTTCTTCCTAGTCATAATGAATCGGTACTTCAGCTGGATTTTTTGGCACTTTGGCAGGAAAGCTCTGGACAGCTGGAAGAGACCTGCTCAATCATTTTTTGTTTTCTTCTTTGTATCAATTTTCCACCTGTGAAACCCAAAATCCCACCACCAAGTGCAGCTGCAATTCCTGCCACTTTGAAGCCTGCAAGGAGACCGATAGGACCCCCCACCACTCCACCAATGACTGCACCTGCCACAGGCAGAGCTGCCAGCTTGTATTTTGCAGCCTGTAAAGGGGAAAAAAAAAAAGAGTTAGAATACTTGCCTGTGGTGATGTGCATTTTCCTCTCATTGCTCCTGGCAATGACTTGCATGCTCAGTGATAAATAAACTTTACAAATTAGTATTTAAAAAAAGATGACCTACTATCCCACATGTACTGCTGAATGTACTAAAACCAATTCAAAACTGATCTATCTCACGTATGCAGTTGTGAACCAGGTCCTTTTACATGCTACTGCCTGATTATGGACACTATTTATTACCTTGTCTCCATCACTAAATCAAATGAGAAACTGAGAAAATGCTCAGACTTTTCAGTAACATGCCTGAATCTAGGTTTGTGGCTTATCAGCAACTATCACCGACATCTTCATAGAATGGGAATGAAATTGCACGTTATCATCAACCTGTTGTTTTACGCTTACGTGATTCTTGTGAGCCAGTGGCTGAACGTGCTTGCCTTTGCAGGTAAACCAAATAACATCAGAATAGCATTAAAAAAGGCCCCCAAAAAAATTGTATTTCCTAGCAGCCTGGATGTGATAGAAAATTACAAGAAAGATTGATTATTTTTTTTCCCCCTGCTACCTGTGGGTCATTTCTTCCTTATTTCCTTAATTGCTGGCTCCCTCAGCATTAAAGACGGCAGATCAATTGGGTTAATTCAGAGGCTTGCTTGGAGGCAGAGTACCATTGATTCAGCAGCAGGAGCGGATCCCTACCTTCCCCAAGTTTTTGGTTCCCTCTTCAACATTCACAGCAGCACTGTTGACATGTTCTTCAATCCTGTCAATCTTCTCCTGCTGAGACTAGATGCAAAGGAATTATGAGTGAGGTAACCTGCTGGGAAGCAGCAGTGAGCCAATACACACCATTTTAATGCCTGTAATCAGGGCCCCACAGCCGCTTTCATCTGCTACACACTGCAGCCGTGCAGCCTTCATGGTGGTTCATTAATAGCATCTCATAAACTGTGATGAAACTACAAACTTACTTTAAAAAATCTTAACTATTAACAAATAATATGGTGTGGGTATTATACAATGTGTTGCTGCAGTTAAGAGAAAACAGCCCAAAACATATGATTTCTAAATCTTTTCTGTGAATAGATTAACTTGCAGTCCAAAGGGA